TTGAAAGCCCACTTCATAGGGTCCGGACCGGAACCTCTGGTAGCGACCGGACTCTCCTTGTTCATAGGGTCTGGTTGTCTAATCGCGCCATGTGTCCCCAGATTCGAAAATGACCACTGGAGCCCCAACGGCTATCTCCCGCAGCGCCAGTCAGCCAGACCGGACGTGCCTATGCAAATGACCGGACCCGCCGAGTAGAGTCTAGTCGTGCCAACGCGTGCACCACCGCGGGATCAGACTCGCCTGCTCGCTATGACCAAACTCGCCCTAGCCAAGGTCCGGTCAGAAATAGAGAGGTCCGTAGAGGGCCAAACAGCTTCGGGACGGGTCCGGTGCTGTCGACCGAACTCAGCCAGGCTCCGGTCCTCTTCGCGCACGCTCGCCTGCACGCCACGTGTCACCTCCCCATAATGCCAAGCAACCGGACCCGAGGACAAGGGTCCGGTCCTTAGTGACCCCAGGGTCCGAAGCTCCTGCTAGCCACACCCAAGGCTAGGGTTAGCGACCGGACCCGCCTAGGCAGAGTCCGGTCCTACCCGCCAACAGGGTCCGGTCCCTGTTTCTCTTCTCCAAGTTGATCCAAATCAACTCCAACTTCTTCTCCTTTGCAAATGTGCCAACACCATCAAGTGTACAACACCATATGCCTGTATGTTAGCATTTTCACAAACATTTTTCAAAGGATTAGCACTCAATTTACCATGTCACTCGATCCTAGCAACGATGCAAAGTGATCTACTCAAGTGGTACTAGATAACCGATATGTAAATAAGTTTGTCCCTCTTGATAGTATGGCCATCTATCCTAAACCCAGTGATAAACTTCTCTACACCTATGACCGGTGAAATAAAATGCCCTACAAATATACCTTTGCCTTGAGCATTCCATTCTATCTCCTCCAATGTTGATGCAACACATGCACCAACCATATCACAAATGATATGATCCACTTCATATCATCACGTGACTGTATTGGTTCATAGATCTTGACTTCACTTGCTCTTCACCGTTGCTTCGGTCCATCGACGCTAAGTCATCACTCAACTTGCCCTTCACACTTACAACCGGTCCATCAAGCTAAGCCTTGTCTTGATCTTCTCCACCTTAGTCACATGACTCCATGTCATGTCTCATATGCAATGAGCTCCTTCATCATATGTGTGAGCCTTGCAACATATTCAAGCCATTTCCACATCCATGGCATGTGTTGCTCACACAAGTGTTTCTGTGGACTAATCATCTGTGTATTTCATTTAAACACATATTAGTCCACCTAGGTTGTTACTCAATTACTAAAACCAAATAAGGACCTTTCAGCTTTTACTTATAGCAATGCTTTCATGACTCTGTTGAAGTATGAATAGATCTATCGACTTTTGAGGTTTAGTTTGTTATCTAGGCCAAGCGCTGCATCACCTCTGAACTGTTTGGTAGTGATAGTAGATTAGATCTAATCTGTTTATAAATTTATTTATATTAAATAGTTGATTGTCTGTATGCTATACCTTTAACTTCTCTGCATCACTATATAGCCGATAGCCTATGCTATCATGTCTTATTCTTTTACATGTATATTCGCTCTTGGATGAGTGTCTTGTTTTTGTCTTGGTTCATCAGCCAATGCCGGTATATTTTACCTTTATCAATCATTCAATGCAACTGTGCTTAATTATATGATTCTTTTTCCTGCATTCTTCCATGTTTCATGATCATTGGCTATTGGATCTATATTGCTATCATTTGATAACAGCCGATAGCATATGTTTCAATTATTTTATATCATGAACATGCTTGATATCGACTCTCTAGACGATAGCCTTATTCACCGGCCCCTGGCTGTTACACCCCAAAATTTTCTAATTTTGGGTTGTGCATAGAAAACACTAAAAACATAATTTGTTTTAATAGTTTCATTAAACTCTTCAAGCTTAGTTTAATTTAGCACAAATTGAGTTGTAGAAAATGTGAATTTTCAAATTTTTCCATATTAATTTGACGGGCTTTTGCTTGATGTAGTGTTTGTGTTGTGAGTAAAGTTTTCAAAACGAGTTTAGTAAGTCGTTTATCTTTCTCCAGCTTATCTCTGTTTTTTTCTGAAATTAAATCTCTGCTTTCTTGAGATAATCCTTTTCTTGGAGTTTCCAACAATCTTTTTCTTCTGCTCCAATTTATTTGAGTTCATCCTCAATCAGGCCATCGAATTCTCTGCCTCCCAATCTATTCTTTTGTTTCCATTTTAATCCTTGCGTTTCTTTTTCCTCCTAATTTCTTTTCAATGAAATTCATTTTCCTCCTAATGCGTGCATGGTCAATCTCCTTGAGGTGTATGTGCCGCACACATACAAGGACTCTACGACTCAATATCCATCATTGCTACTTGTCGTACCTGTCTATAAATAGCCGTACCTGTCTATAAATAGCAAACCGAGCCCTCTGTGTCCTTTTTCCAAACCCTTGGAAACAAGTCGATTGATCGTGATCCAAGCTGCCGCTCCGCTCGTCGCTATCGGCCTCCGCACGATCTCGCCGAAATCAGCAAAGCCGGAGGAAAAGCCATCTCTGAGAGAGAGCTTCGCCAAGCTGACATGGAGTTGTTCTACACTATTGCTCCTTGTCATCGCCTTCTCGACACTGGAGCTCGTCGCCGCCAGCGTGCGCGTGGAGTTTGGCCGCCGCCGCCGTGATTTGTTCATACATCCATCCCCTGCATCTGCACCGAGTTCTACAGGAGGCTACCGCCACCACTACGAGCTTCATCAGATCGTCGCCCGTCTCGTCTGCTCCAAGAAGCCGCCATCGATCTTTGGTTTGCATGCCACCGCTGACGAGAAGACAACGCCGTGGGCTTTGCATGAAGGTTCAGGGTCGTCGCTCACCTGGACTCTATCGCTCTCGTCCTCATATCTCTAACTGTTGGTGCCTTTGTCCTTCTGCGTCATGTGGCAGCTTTCTACGACCAACCGCAATCTGAGACCCACATGCTGATGCATCGCTGGAGTTCTTCTCATCTAGTTGAGCAGGCCTGTCAATGCCATCTGCAGCTGACAACTGGTGAACACCTCCATCATGTCTTCGTCCCTATTTCATCTATCGTCTACATCATGCCACAAGCCATGTATGCCCTTTGTTTCCCTGACGTGCCCTGCATCCTGCCCATCTGCAGTTGCGGACCATGTGCGCCGCCGACCATCCATCACAGCATTACGCCGCCGCCTTGTTTTGCATCATAGGCTGCTCGCACGATCTAAACTGCGATAAGCGACGAAAGCCGTCCCAAGGAGAAGCTTCGTCGACCTGCCCCTAAACTGCTCCGTCCCTCGTCACCGTGTGGGCTGCTGTGATCTTCACAACTTCTGATCCGGCCATTGTCGTTTCCATTGTATCTGTTGCCTCTTAACTGTCGCCCCACTACCCCAGCTCAGTTTTTTTCCTGACGGTCTCTTCCGTCAGGAAAAGTACCGAAAACCGTCAGGAAAGGTCATCTGTGACGGTTACCATCAGGGATAAGCCGTCAGCGGAAAAACGTCGCAGAAAGTCGAGTTTCCCTGACAGAAAACCGTCACGGACTATTCACTGACGGCAGAAACTGTCAGGAAAGATATACAGCGTCGGTTTTCAGTCTGCCGTCAGGGATACATTTAGCTTTTCCCGTCGGTCAGAGAACTGTCAGAGAAATTTCAAACTTTCCATGTCAGTGCAGCATCGTCAGGGATGAAATAACTTTCCCGTCGGTTCGCCAACTGTCAGCCATGAAATAAACTTTCCCATCAGTGTCCAACCGTTAGGGAAAATATTTCCAGTCATTTGGCTGGCAAAATCACTGATTATTTAGCCATTATTATTCTACTGTTCACAGCAACTAATCGGCCACAAAAAAATAATATTACAGCAACTGATGTAACCATTCATCCACGCTTAAGTAAAAAATATTACATTCAATAATCTTAGAACATCATTCAAGTTGTTTATGAATACAAAGCTTTATAATAATTAGTGCCTCCTAGTCATCCTTCAAGTTAGGGACCTAAAAGGGACAGCACAAGTTAAAAGTGCTAACTTACAATTAGATGCTATCCTCCCAACACAACTAGTAGTTAGCTGCTATCTCATGACAGTATGCAGCCACTTCTGCACAAGATAGCCAAAAGAAATCGACATTCCTTGACCCAGGAAGTCTAACAGGTAGCAATCTGCTTTTTGATGGCAGTATGCATCCACATTTGCACAAGCACACGCAGTGAATAGGCAACATGCCGCTGCTACTCGACAACTAGCATGCATGCCTTGAAGCGTGATGGAATCCGCATATTTTGCTTCACAGCCTAGATATGCAGCAGCTCATGCACAACCAAGATACCTCCCTTGCACAAAATACCCAGCATGACACATGCATGGCCTTCGAACTTTGTTGCCATCAGCTATAGTAGATAAACAAAAGACTACAGCTTCACAAAATACTTCCTGCCATCGCACAACTCAATGGCCATCACTGTTGTCCATGTCCAGGTTGGCTGAAGCACGAGATGATCCATCTATAGTCCCTCCCTACAACAAAAATAAATATATAGGATCATTCCAGGTGGCAAGCATAAATAAATAAAACAGCCTACTGCTGACGCCAATCCTTACAGGAAGCAAGCATGCATCTATTTACAACCACTGAAACACTTTGAACAAATAAAAGGCAGCAGCTGCATAGTTTCATTCACTAGACAAATAAACTAGGACTTACTAGCAGCAACACACATGCCAACAACCAACAAGCAAAAATAGCCACTTGTTCTACAGAATCTTTTCACATGCAGATGAAGATAATGAGAGCTAGTGGTATCTCTATTTTAAGCACATGCACAAGCAAGATACATATTGGTACAGCAAGACAATTTTGAGCACAAGCAGCTGCAGGTGAAGAAATTATTAATCTTACCATGTCATTTTCTTCTACCTGAAGCAGGTCTGGTGGTATCTCTATTTGTACTTTGTTAAGAATGAGCTGCAGGTTAAGATACATAATTAGCATCAGACTTTGGGCTCTTTATGATTTCGCGATAGTAGTACTTGATAGCATCTGGACGAGCTTGGTACATCATATTCTTGCATTGGGTGCGTGCATATTTCTCAAATACACGGTCTGCTTCATCTTCAAGATCTTCAGGAACTGAATATATGCTCTGGAAAAGAAACAATAATCAAGCATTACTGTAAATAGTGTTGAACACCACTTGAAACTGCTCAGACATGCCTACAGTTGAAAGAAATACAATGACAGATCTTATATGCTCACCCAGAACCCTTGTTTCACAATGGCAATGCAGCAGCTACTGCACATGTCTGGTCGCTCTCTACAACCAAAACCATAAATGGAACCATTCATGAGATCATATGTCATGGATGTAGCCAAAGTGTAGAAGTAGAATCTTCTAATTGCAGTTCAGATACAAATAGAACACTAAAATAGTCCTATTAAAACATGTATCTAGCACCTCGGTCCGATGCATGTAAATAACAATAGTTGCACCAGACCAAAAATAATTTTGTACCATACAGTAAAAGCCAACGCAGTCAGGGATCTCACCGTTGTGTTACAGAAGTAGGGGAAGATCTGCGACATTTTGGATGGCACTATGCAGCAGCTTCATTTTTGTAATAACGCACAGCTCAGTGAGGACAAATAAACTGCACATCTGGATACACATCTAGTCGAATATGCCTTTACAACATTAGTTGCTATGAGTAACTGTTCAAGAAGGTGATTGGCACTATTTTCTGTCTGCATAATAGTAAGCTCTTTACTATTCTAACTGTAGTTCAGAAAACTTCAACAAGATAGTGCACTAGAACCTATCTTCAGAACCAAAATGTTCAGATTTAAAAGATTGTCTGTCCAGCACAAAGAATAAGAATATTCAGTCTTGTCACATGGTAGCCTGATCTTACCATGTCATTTCTTCTCCAAAAAAAAAACAAAACTGTGCAGAAATCACATACTAAAAATAACTATGCAGAACTGTGAGTAATTAGATAATAGAGTTGTCTGCATTTGCATCAGTTGTAGTGAGATGGATACTAAGAATAAGAATAAGAACTATGCAGAACTGTCATTAAAGCATGTAGATGGATTTAGTTGCAAGTTACTGAACCTGAAGAACTATGAACTGACCGAGCGAGATGACATTGTTAAAGCAGGCATGTCCATCTTCATGCTCATTCTTCCAAGTAAACTGACTGCAAAATATATATATATATATAATCAAGAAAGAATGTGCGGTCAATAGCACTAATCTTAGTATGCACAATCATATTTAGTGTTTTATATAGCATGAATCAACAGGTTAACTACAAGCAGCAGGAAACATATAGCATGAATCAACATGATTAACTAGCAATCTAATTCTAAATCTGCATAACTAACAAGATAGCTAGCTAGTAGTGACAAGCAATCAATAAGATATCTTGCTAAAACAGTTATCTCAATACGTCAGGCTATGATATGAACATTAAATATTTATTTAACTGCCAATGATGCCTCGCAAAGTCTGTACAGAATAAAATCCTTCACCATGTTCATTATTGAGCATGAATAGCTGTAGTTCAGAGAAACAAGGTAGTTCCAAGATGCATCTGCAGCCTATATACATGCAATAGAATTTGTAGATGTACCATGCCCACAAAATCTCTACCCCTACTTTCACTTCCAATAAATATTTCTGTAGCAGAGTAACAAATCATTCTTACATTGGCAGATTTCATAGCTATTGCCTATTGGTAGGGATGAAAACGGATCGGATACGAACGGATATCACTCATATTATATTTGTTTTCATATTTCTGTTCGGATTCGGATTCGGACACGGATAGCGTTCAGATATATATACGAATACGGATTGACTCGGTTACGGATACGAATAATGAGTATCGAATACGGTATGAATCGGATTCGGAGAAGGTCGGATACAAATATCTATTCGGATATTGAGTAAAAGCAGCATATATATATATATATATCATACGTGCGCAAACCATTACACCACTCTATGAGTCCATAATCCATCTAGATTAAGCCGAAAGACTAAAGAGTAAAGCAACAAATAAGATAAAGATACAGATACATCATACATCAAACATCATACAAGCACCAATCTTCGCGGCATGAGTAGAAATAGCCAAGCTCATGGCTTCATGGGTCTCATGGAGTCATGGTCATGGATTCAAGATCTACAATCCTTATATAGGCAATTTTTTCATTTGAGAAAGTTTGAACAAAATGTAGTTCAAATTTCACAAGTGTGTGACATAGTTTTAGAAAGTCTGTATGAGATTCAAGAATTTATGACTAGTGTTTGATAAAACTTTCTCAAATGGGAAAATGAGCTATGTAACAATTGTAGATCTTGCTGAGATGATCAAACTTGGTATTCAGAGTTTTTTCATCTGAGGTCATTTAGTGTCTCATTTGAGCAAGTTTGACCAAGTCAAATTTGGTCAAATGAAAAAACAACACTTTGACTCTAGTATTATGAACTCTACATGACTTTAAATTGAAAATTTTTGAATACCAAGTTTGTTCAACTCATAAAGATCTACAATTGTTGTTTTGGTCAACTTTCCATTTGAGATAGTTTGGATGGTTCAAATTTGTGATTTTTAAATTTCGATGCTTACAAACTAGTTTTCGAAACCCTAGATTGTCTCAAATTGAAAAGTTTTGAATACCAAGTTTGTTCATCTCATCCAGATCTACAATCCTTATATAGGCTATTTTTTCATTTGAGAAAGTTTGAACAAAATGTAGTTCAAATTTCACAAGTGTGTGACATAGTTTTAGAAAGTCTATATGAGATTCAAGAATTTGTGACTAGTGTTTAATAAAACTTTCTCAAATGGGAAAATGAGCTATGTAACAATTGTAGATCTTGTTGAGATGATCAAACTTGGTATTCAGAGTTTTTTCATCTGAGGTCATTTAGTGTCTCATTTGAGCAAGTTTCACCAAGTCAAATTTGGTCAAATGAAAAAACAACACTTTGACTCTAGTATTATGAACTCTACATGACTTTAAATTGAAAATTTTTGAATACCAAGTTTGTTCAACTCATAAAGATCTACAATTGTTGTTTTGGTCAACTTTCCATTTGAGATAGTTTGGACGGTTGAAATTTGTGATTTTTAAATTTCGACGTTTACAAACTAGTTTTCGGAACCCTAGATTGTTTCAAATTGAAACGTTTTGAATACCAAATTTGTTAATATCATCAAGATCTACAATCCTTATATAGGCCATTTTTTCATTTGAGAAAGTTTAAACAAAATATAGTTCAAATTTTACAAGTGTGTGACAGTTTCAGAAAGTCTATATGAGATTCAAGAATTTGTGACTAGTGTTTGATAAAACTTTCTCAAATGGGAAAATGAGCTATGTAAAAATTGTAGATCTTGCTGAGATGATCAAACTTGGTATTCAGAGTTTTTTCATCTGAGGTCATTTAGTGTCTCATTTGAGCAAGTTTGACCAAGTCAAATTTGGTCAAATGAAAAAACAACACTTTGACTCTAGTATTATGAACTCTAAAGGACTTCAAATTGAAAAGTTTTGAATACCAAGTTTGTTCAACTCATCAAGATCTACAATTGTTGTTTTGGTCAACTTTCCATTTGAGATAGTTTGGATGGTTCAAATTTGTGATTTTTAAATTTTAACGCCTATAAACTAGTTTTTCATTTGAGAAAGTTTGGACGGTTTAAATTTTGAAGCACTAAATGATTTCAAACGAAAAAGTTGTAAACAACAAAGTTTCATAACTTTTTGAGATCTACAATTTTTATTTTGATCATTTCTCCATCCAAGGTCGTTTGAATAATATCCGGATAATATCCGTTTTTAAATATCCGGATATATCCGATACTTAACCGGATTATCCGATATCCGCCGGATATCGATGATATTACATCCGTATTTGATATCCGCCTAAGATGTCCGTTTTAGTATCCGTATCCAAAAAAAATTACGGATATTCGAGTAACTATTCAGATAAGTGTTCATATTTGTTCGGTCGAACGGACGGTCGAATAAATATCCGTAACGTTTTCATCCATACCTATTGGTGAGTTTGACAGCAAGTAACTGAATGAAAGCAATGAAAAAAATAACAATTCAAGAATTGCAATAATCTAAAATTCCAGATTTGCAAAGGCATAATTAAAAAATCTACCAGATCAATTTATAAGATACCAAGAACAAGTGTCTGCAACGTCTTACCGTAGCATAAGAGTAGAACACTAAAGACACATTTCACTGTGCAGCAGACACCTTTAGCATAAGAGTAGAACACTCAAGTATTCTATACAATCTCTAAGGAATACTAGTGCAAATGGATAGCTTCTTATTATTCATAGGACAGAAACAAGTGCAAATTGTAAATAGATGCAATCTCTAAGGAATACTACAGATATGGAACAATAAATGAATACTATACATAAAAAAAATTCTAAGAACACAGAGATGACAAAAAAAATGTTTTGGTGGCTAAATTCATGCACTTATGGATTATTAGTGATAACAGCCTAACAGGTGATGATAGCAAAGTCACTGTATATGGCATTCAGATCCAAATATGCTTTTCAAAGCCAAATTAAGACTAGGAAATCATTCAGTACATCATTTGTTTAGCTTGCCTCCAAAACTGAAAGTAAGTAGTAATAATCAACTATAGTTATGTTACAGTGGGGGCAGCAAACTCGTCTGTGCTGGGACGCAGCTCGTAGAGAACTCACCGGCCCATGGCGCCTCAAAGCCATGCATCTGCAGAAACAATTGTAAAGAGAGTGCCTTAATTCAAAGATGGAGTAGAAAATGGGTGTGCCATACTGGCATACAACATGGCCATAGTATCTGCAGATTTAAAAAAAAAAAAAGAAAGCCTCCGAAGAATAGGGAAAAAGAGAAACATAATCAAATACATTCTCAACTACTCCTATCTTTTTTCCTAGACAATGCACATACATAGTTCCAAACAATTAAAGAACCACATACACACAATTATTTTTCTACATTAATGTTAACCTGATATCTAGCATAGCATTGCAAACATGATTTATCTGAATTGCAGAATCTCTAGCTTATCTGAATTTACTCACAAATACATATATACATATATAGCCATTCCTAGATCCTAATCACGAAGAAGCACATCCTTTCAAGATATGAATATCCATAGTACCACTAGAGATTTGAACAATAGATTGAGTATGCTAGAATCACACAAACGGCTGTAGTGCCATTGGACTAGAGCTCACCCGGGGCGTTAGGTTGCTGGGGATTGCAGCCTCGCCGGTCGCTCTTCGTGGAGAAATCCTGTCGCCGTGGCCACCGCACCCGATTCCCAGCGACGAAGTGATGAGTCCTTTGCTAATTGAAGGAGAGAGACAGAGTAGATCTGAGCGGAAGAGGTTGGCATAGAGAGAGAGAGATTTCTCACCATGGCTGCTGCACCACCGATGGCTAGCGCACCGTTGCTGTGCCTGCGCCTTCGTCTCGGCACCGCGACCGCAAATCTAGCGAGTGGGGTCGGCGGTGGCTGCTGCGCGTAGGTTGGGAGGACGCAGCGGCATCGG